GAGAGCTAGAGCAGTGCAGGTGCCTGCTAAAGACATGGGGTCTGATACCATGTGATGGCTCCTGCTGACAGCTGCAGTCCGCGAACACAGATGCCCAGGTGACAAAACAGAGGAGAGAGGCCAGGCCTCCCTCTGGCATCTCCCCTATGGGGACAGGGAGAAGAGAGTACACTTGGCCCAGCTCCCTCAGGGCCTGGAGACACTGGACTTTCAGATATCTGAGTGGATTCTAGGCCACATACGTCAGAGTGAGAGCCCCACATTGCCCTTTGATAGCATCCTGGACCTTTCCTCCCTGCCCCATCATAGTTTTTATGACCTTTACACTTCTTGCTATGCCAAAACAGCCTCCTCACTGGTATAGAGGGACCTCGGTGCATATCTGCCAGCTTCAAGAATATTAGGTTTGGGAGAAATGCACCTGGGGTCAGAACACCAGGAAGGCTAACAGCTGGGAAAGGAAGGCCCTGGTGAGAAAGTTCCCAGAGACCCAGGCAGAGAAGGGCTAAGAAGCCTCCATCTGGGCTGACCAACAGAGAGCCCCTAGAGGCCTCAAGAACAGGGGTCCCCAAGAGTACAGGACACCAATCAGCTGTGTTGAAGTAAGGAGAAAGCTAAAGGAGATCAGACTCAGAGAAGGAGAGTAGAGGGATGAAACAGAGCTGGACAAGGAAGGATGGCCCCAGCTGTCCAAATGCTGGTACCTAATGCTGCCAGCTAAAGCCCAGCAGACAGACGGTGTCCCGGCCAGGCTCGGCCCAGGGCAGCCACTCTACATCCCCAGCCCTGCGCAGACTGACCCACACAAGCCTCTGTGGTGGTCTGAACACTTGCTCCCCATTTGGCGGTGCTGTTTGGGAAGTCTAGGTGGCCCAGCCTTGCTGGGGGAAATATGTCATCGGGGCTGGGCTTTGAGGATTTAATGTCTCGAGGCACTTCCATGTGCTCTGTTTGCTTTGTGCCCGTGGTTATAGACATGGGCTCCCAGCTTCCTGCCGCTGCCACTGTGCTTGCCCCTTGCTGCCTCTCACCACCATGGGCTCTTAGTCCTCTGGAGCCATCAGTCAAACACTCTTCTAAAAGTTGCTTTTGCTCACGCTATTTTATCACAGCAACAAGGAGGTGACTGATGCGGCCTCCTCTCCTCCTGAAGCTCATGGCCATCACCGATCTTCCCTGAGACGAGCCAAGTTCATTCTTCACACCTCACCTTCCTACACTACCCAGCTCGGCCCAGAACCTGCCCTCCTGCTGGCCACATGAGGTCCACAGCAGAACTGGCCACACTGCTGCTGCTGCAATCCTGCCAGGCTTTTCCTTGCCATTTCTCCTACTTCTCCCACTTCTGCTGCATGCCACCATCTGGGCCTCTCCGGTGGGCTGGCCTCCCCACTAGCCCACCCTGGCTGCCTCCCCACTGTCCTCACTATACCCCCTTTAAAAAAATCAACTCAGTCCCTACAACCTTCTCCCAAAACCCCAGGACTTATGCAAGTGTTAGGTTTCGATCAAAAGCCACCCCTTCAGACAGGCTTTTCATAATTACCCTTCCTGTAGTGACAGTTTTAAGAATTCTGGAATCTTGGGTTCTTTTTTAAAAACACAGAAATATTATAAGAAAATATACTTTCGTTTTAATCCCAGGTGTAGGGATGTGGGGCTGCTTTGGACTGTTCACAGCAACTGACTATGATTTGCCTCATGCTCTACCAGAATGTGGTTTTTCCAGCTGCAGATAGTTTCTGCAACTGTGTGACATTTGGAATTTGGGGAACTTTTCAGAGGGAATCTAAATGCTAGAGCCAGCCGAGCACGGTGTACATGCCTGTAATCCCAACACTCTAGGAGACAGAAGCAGGTACAGGTCTGTGAGTTTGAGGCCAGCCTGTTCTACAAAGCAAGTCTAGGACAACCAAGGATACACAGAGAAACCCTGTCTCAAAATAAATAAATGAGTGAGCGAGTGAGTGAGTGAGTGGATGAATGAATGAATGAATGAATGGATGAGTGCCTAGAGCCCTAAGTGGTGGGGCCAGAGGTTGGTTGCGGTTTGTCAGTAGCAGTGGTCAAAAAGAAACAAAAGTAAGAAATTAGATTCAGGGATTTTCCTAATTCCTCTCTCCCCTCTATCCTTGTTTCTCTCCTCTCTGGTGTTAGGGGGGTGAAACCAGGGGAATAAAGGGTGGGAAAGAGAAGAACCCACAAACTAGCAGCTACACCTTCCTGTCTCTCCCCTCTTACCTGCTTTGTCCCTAAGGAGTCGATCTATATGTTTATTCTATATGTCCTTCCTACGCCGTCACTGCAACAGGTCATTTCCTGGTACCCTCAATAAGCATCTGAAGAATAAATGAATAAATCTCTTTAATATGTTTTGGAGATGATTTCAGTGTGTTTACTAAAGCTGATGTGCTGAAGGCTTGGTTCCCAGCATGGCGGTGTTGCAACCCTTAAGAGGGGCAAATCTGAGGTGATTAGATCATGGTTGACTGCCCTGGTAGACTGTGCTGGTCTGAGGACTGACACTTCTCTTGAGGGTGGATTCTTATGAAGTAAAACTACTCGTGCACACTTGCTTCCTGTGTGCGTGGCCATTCTCCTTTCTGGCTCTCCATTATATTTTGACTTATCTGAGGAGCCCTTGCCAGGATGTTGGCGCTACACTGTGGGATCTTTCAGAGATTCTGAATTAAGCTTCCATCTCCCTTCTACACAGTTCTCAGCAACAATTCTTCTAGTAAAGCAGTAGTTCTCAACCTTCCTAATGCTGTGACCCTTTAATAAAGTTTCTCATGTTGTGGGGACCCCCAAACATAAAATCATTTTTATTACTATCTCATAGCTGTAATTTGCTAGTTATGAATCCTAATGTAAGTATCTGATATACAGGATATGTTATATACGACCTCTGTGAAAGGGTTGTTCAACCCCCACAGGGCTGTGACACACAGATTGAGGACTGCTGCATTCAGGCAACAGAAAGGGGCTAAAGCCTTCCACTAATCCATTTCCTAGGGTGCGAATGACAGCCCTACAGTGCCACCTTGCTGACTTGCTCACAAAGCCTGAGCACAGCAAGCCATACCCAGTGCTGCAGTCAGTAAGAGACTGCGCTGTTCTCCCAGCATGTCCCTGCTCGGGGTGGCATTTCCTGTCCCCACCGAGCGCAGAGCTAGGCTTCCAGCCTCCTGCCTCCAGATGCCATTTCAGCTCTTCTGCAGCTGCAGCTGTAACACTATGTTATTTTTCTATTCCACACTGACTCTCCTGTAATTCCAGCACTCGGCAAGGCAGAGGCAGGTGGATCTCTGAGTTCCAGGCTAGCCTGGTCTACAAAGTGAGTCCAGGACAGCCAAGGCTACACAGAGAAACTCTGTCTTGAAAAACAAACAAACAAACAAACAAACAAAAAGTTCACTTATTCCTCCACTAATGACTATACATTCTTCCAAGGAATAATGCTTTTCAAAATGAGGCAAACCAAAAACTTATGGCCAAAAAAGGACCCACTTATGACAAATGCACAGACATGAGGCACTTGCCTCCAAATCAGGGCTATTTGGCTGTTTAGGCTCTTCCCATGGACCAAACTCAGCTTCAAAGTTAAGTGTGCAAAAGCACACTACCTCATGGGTCAGTGGGAAGTGAACAAAGGGGACTTCGGCATGAATAAAAGCACCGCCAATACCCACTGTGCACTTGGCCAACCGTGCTCCCTGTGCTGGGAGCCCAGTCCACAGTCAGGCAATTGCTAATCACCCTAGGCTACCGGAAGAGAGGACACAGGCTCCATCCAGACACAGAGGCCAGCAGCCTCCTGCAGGAAAGTCCGGTACATTCCATATCTAACGGACAGCGAGTTAGGACTGAGGTACCCTCGTCACGCCAGAAGCCTTGTTAATGCCCTGTACTAGTTTCCTGTGACTACAACATCAGAAACATCCTCTCACGGCTTAAGATCAGTATTTGTCCCCTACAGTGTCCTGGTGTGCTGGCTCCAAGGCGTGTGTGTTCTGCGTGCACAGGTAGGCCAGAGAAAGCCCATGGGAAGAGAGAAGAATGAGTAGGGCAGGCAAAGGGCACACAACACTGTGTGTCTGGCCTTGCCAGAAGGCTATCATGAAACCAGGGCCAGCACCAGCACACTCTAGCAGTGCACTCCAAGGCTATGGTTTCTCAGGAGCGAGAGATGGTCACAGTGGTCTTGGCTGAGCTCTGGACCCCTTCCAGCAGGCCCCTCCTAAGGCAGGCCCAGCATGTTCAGGACTTCAGGGACAAAACATTCAGAAGGTGGTGGCTCTGAGCCAAGCACCCCTGACTCCACCCACCCTGCTATCCTCTCCCCAGGTGAAAAGAAGACCCAAGCCATAAACCAGATGGAAAGAATACAGTGTTCTATCCTGGCACAGTTGAACTGACAATCGTCTGGGAACAGTGTGCTGCTGACACCATCTGCAGCCTCCTACAGACTAGCTCCAGGGCAATTACAGGGTATCCCAGGCTCTGCCGCAAGCAGCACTCTGGCCTCCACTATTCCTTGTCTCATAATGAGTTGGGGGCCACCGTCTTCAGGTTTCAGCCCCTGTCTTCCATCAGGCACACCCAGTGTGGGGGCTGCTTTCAGGGACTTCCTGTAAGAAAAACAATGTTGCCATAGAGCAAGCCAGGGAGGAGCATGGCAAGAACCTGTACAGCCCAGGCCCTCCAGTGAGAAGGCCAGCTGCAGGTGGATGCCCTCCCCTGTGCTGTTGTCTGCTGCAGGCTCTTGGGATACCCTAGATGACCCTGGCCTTGGCCCGGGGCCTCCACAAAGGCAAGAGACTCCTCGAAGCTTACAGTCACTGGGTGCCACCTCTGGAGCGAAGAAGGGAAGAGGAGAGTGACAGGCATGGGAAGACAGTCACTGTCTACCCCACTGTCTGTGTGTCTGGCTTGCTGGTCGCCGTGATCCCAGCACACCAGACTCGCCGGCGAGCCATTGTCAGGGCAAGGGTACTTACCACGTTCCAGAAGAGCGGATTGAACACAATGATGAGCACAGCCACCACAAAGCTGGGCTCTGTGGGGTCCATGTAACCCAGCAGCCAGGTCATGACGAAGAGATCTGCCTGCAAGGACAGAGCAGCCATCAGCGGGAGGCCTGCCTAGTGACACCCAGAAACTGCCAGGACCTTATGAGGCCCCAGGATGCAAAGACATCTGGGAACATAAAGGAAGTGCTTAGGATGGCCAAGTCCAGACACAGTCGCTGCACTGACGTCCCATGAAAGAGAAGATAAAAGGCCGAAACTAATCGGCCGTGTCAGCTGTCGCGAGCGTGCTGGGCTAATGGTTGCGGAGGTGCTCATGAGTACTGTACGCAGAGCTCCATGGCTCTGAAGACAGGTTCCTAAAAAGGACACTAACCCTAAATGTGATTGAAAGCCCCTGAGATGAGGGTTCTCATGAGACCCAAGGAAAACTCAGGTGGCCAAAATACATGGGAAGAGAAACTCCGCCTCAGGAGATAGTTGGAAAAGCTAATGGCCACACGTAATGGCCGCCTCTCCCAGGGCTTCAGGAGGGGCAGTGTGACTGCAGCTGAGGAAGGAAGTGATTCTGCTCGCAGCATGAAGAGAGCAGGTAGCAGCACTCCCGCCGGCGCACACTCACAATGACCGCACGCCCGCCGCCGGCGCACACTCACAATGACCAGGAGTCATAAGAGACAACTTGGGGCTGTGGGTTAGGGCCCAGCGGCAGAGCACCTGCCTGGTGTGCACAAAACCTTGGATTCTATCTGCAACACCCCCACCAAAGCAAAACCACAAGATCTGGGTACCCAACCTGGAGAATAATGGATGGCCCATGTGTGAGGCCCACAAATCCAAAAGGTAAACAGCGCCGTCTGCACATAAAAGCCCTGCAGTGTTGACATTCCAGTGAGTTGTCAGTGCTGGGCTGTGCTCTGCATTCTAGGACGCCTGGCAGCCCCCACCCTGGCTTCCACCCACTGGAGGATGGCAACTCTTCCCCACTGAGGCAACCAGAGGCATCTCCGGATGTCTGGATGTCCGGTGGAAGAAAACTCCCTGCGTGGGAGGGAGCCTCTGCCACAGGAGAGGAGAGGAACAGCCAGCTACTCTCTGCACCAATTTCTTTCTTCACAGTGAGTCCTGGCACTGGGTGATGAGACTGGCTGGGTCCTTGTGCTCTTCTCTAAACATCTCTAGTTTCCACTTTAGGAAGAATCCTAAAGGGCCAGGGCATTGATGGTGTTGTGCTGTCTCCCTACATGCAACTGAAGTAAAAGTCACACTAACAGGTAAATAAGGCTTTATGCACCACGCCTATGGCTCTTCTCAGACTCTGCTCTCATGGCATGCTTCGATGTTTCATTTCAGGATAGAATAATTTCTTTCAAAGAGTGCTTCTACCCCACCCCCCATTAGAGGGAGGAGGGGAAAAATGTGCTACTACACCACACACACACACACACACACACACACACACAGACACGCCCAGGGCTGCCCATCCCTGGAGAGAAAGCAGCAGCCTCTACGCAGGTTCTTACTTCACCCAGTCTCCTGGGGAAACTCAGCCTGCCATCCAGACCACATTGCCCAGTGTGACACAGGGGACACTGGAAAGTCACTAGGCATGTCAAGTCTTCTACTGGGACCTCCCTGCCCATTCGGACCACATTTCTCACCAGGATGTGGGACCAAAGGTGGGCTAAGCAGATGCTCAATGTTCAAACCCAGTGTTCAGCCACTCTTTTCCACAAGGAATACACCCAGACCCCAAAGATGCCTAAACTGCAGCTAGCACCAAAAACTACATATATTATACTGTTGCAGTTCTAATACACACGCACCTCAAAAAGAGAGATTATTTTGTAAGCCAGACACATCAAGACATTAACAGTAAGTACTCATTAACTTAGAACCAGAGCTGGGCGTGTCAGCGAACACCTGGAATCACCGTACTCAGAAGGCAGAGGCCATCTGGTCTAAATAGTGAGTTCCAAGTCAGCCAAGGTTACAAAGTGAGATCCTGTCTCAAAAAAAAAAAAAAAAAAAAAAAAAAACAAAAACAAGAGAGGGAGGGGGTGGAGGTAAAACAGACTGAAGTAACTGCTGTAATTCTCCCTCTCTCTCTTCTGTGCTCAACTCACCATCCTGCTTCGGAAACCACAGACACAGCCTACTGGTGCACGATCGTCAGGCTCAGCAGAAAATAAGCCAAAAGTAGGTGCACTAGTGTGGGAGCAAGTATGAACAACATCTCAGTGAGTACACCGGGGAGTGGATGAATGAACAACAGAGAACCTGCTCAGGAACCAGCAGGGAGAATGAGCCTGAGGGCACAGCCTTATCCCAGGCTGCTAACAGCTCAAGAACACACAGGCCATACAGCAGACAAGCCTGCGCCAACCTTCCAGAGCCCCTGGGCAAAGTCTCAGGAAGCCCTGGATGAGATTGGGGCCTCTCAGCACAACCGTGGGCTGTGGAAAGTAGGGTTGAGTGCTCCTAGGGTACACACTGCTCATGCAGGACAAAGCCACGGGATCAGACCTCACAATAGGAAAAGGAGGAGATTGGAGCTGTGTAGCCCTAAACCTTCTAGAATCTGAGCCCAACAAGAGAGCCAGTCTTTCTTCTGTTTGATGACATGTATTAGGCATCCCTGATCACAAGGCCCTGTGCACTGACAGGCTGGGGGTGGGGTCGGAGGAACAGCAGAGAAGGGAGAGAGGAAAGGAAGCCTGGGCACAAGAGTCCTGACTCTGCCTGACCGCTCCCAGAGAACACTGACTCGACCTCCGTCAGCTGGACCACGTACCGCTACCCAGCAGGAAGTCCTTACACATCCCAACCTCTCCTTCCTATTCTGCATTTTAAGCACCCAGCCCAAAATCTCCCATTGCTTAGGCACCCACACCCCAGCACCCCACCAAACCCCCGTCTCATTCTGTCTGGTCTGTTCTGACATTCCTTACATAACCCATTCCCCACCCTCACCACCCCTGTACACACAGCTCCCCCAGGGCATAGCCAAGGCCCTTCCTGACCTCCTATCTTTTGGTTTCCTTATGAGCCCGCCTAAATGGCACCTCACATCCTGCTGGCCACCCTCACTCAAACCTCCTCACCTACACTTGGCTCACCTATCACAGCACAGCAGCAGGTGAGCCCAATAACTCCCTGCAGAGTAGACCATCACAGCCTGCCAGCCCCTCATATGCTACCTATGGTTCCACAGCTCTGTGCATACTGGGAATGCCATCTGTCTCTCTACACACTCTGAACAAACTCCTGTACATCCCTCCAGACCCAGAGGGAGCAGTTCCCTACTTCTTACCAAGGCACTATTGTATTCCTGGGGTTCAGCCTGTGTGATTATCTGATTACCATCCCTGTCTTGCAACTGCTTCTCGGCCTAAGGACCACTTCTTTATTGATCTTTGTGTCTCCATTTCTGACTGCCAAGGCTGCCAGAGAGTAAATATTTGCTAAGTGAGCAGAAGTCCTTGTTTCATCATCAATAAAACTTGAAGGCTAATGGTCACCTCCAAGGCTGAGCTGCCCTGTGACCTCCACCAGTCTGGCTTTAGAATGAGACAAGAAATTGCCAAAGCAGCCCCTGGAGGGGGTTTTGCAAGCAGCCGGACAGCTGGGCGGCCAACATGATGAATACGTCCCTCTGGATGTAGAGGCATGGCTTCTCGTAAGACCACAAGACCTGGAATCACCAGCTACCCAGACACATTGCTTCATAAATATGCCTTTCTGCAGGGCAGAAAGATGAAGCAATGCTTTACAAGAGTTGGCAGAGGTGAAATGTCAAGCCAGAGGGAGAGGAGGGACTTCCCAAAGCAGCTTGAAGTCCCCAGGTGGGGTCTGTTTGTTCCTGGGTATGTTAGGGGTAGAGGAGGGCTCGCAGTCCTGAAGCTCTGGGCCTGGCCTGAGTCCACCACTCACTTTCCCTCGCAGATTCTACTCTCCTACCGTGTCTTCCACTGGCTAGCCTCCCTGCATCCCTTACGGAAGGACATTCTAGGCCTGTAGGAACTTAAGTGTGCTGCATGTGAATGCACACCCGCACATATGCAAATCAAATGAATAACGTGATTTTTAAGAAGTAAGCTCACCGTATTATGGAAGGAGGGGTACCTGGAAGAGACAGCATTTTGCCTTTGTGGTGGGAACTCTCCCCTCTTTCCCCATGAGCCCCAAAGACAGAAATGCTCTCGAAATCTTTAAGGGATTGTTAAGAATTCAACTCAATGTCACTCTCCCAGTGCTGAGCACCATGAAGGGAGCTTGTCCTAGTATAGGATGTTAAAAACCAAAAAGTAACTAGGCCTGAGAGCATTGCTAGAGCCCATCACCAAGGAACTGAGGTCTGAAAGAAGACTTATCATTGACCCCACCACAGATGAGACAAGCAGGAGCTTCGAGAAACATGCAGAGCACAGGTTATGAGGGCCAGCACCTGCGCTGACCAGCCTGGCCCTTCTGGATCCTAGGCAGGAAACCCCATAAGATGTGGACTTCAACCACCAAGAGAGGCCCTACCCGCCACAGCAGACAAGAATTAAAGACAGCTTCTGGATCCTGGATTCCCACCATGAGATGGATAAAGTGGGCAGTGAAAAAAAACATGTTTCTTCCCCACTTTGTGAGCGCTAAGACAAAAGAAGAAAACTGAGGCACTCAAAGACTAACTAGTTAGCTTGGCTGAACCACACAGAAACTGGCATTCATCTGTCTCTCAGTTAAAGCCACTGATCCAAACCAGAATACGTCCACACAGCCAGGTCCGAGTGCCCTGGTCAGCCTGCCTCAGCAGGTGGGGAGAGTTCATCTGGAAGCGAGGTCACCTTGAGGGTTGGTGTTGCCTGGAGAAGCAGCTGCTTCCTAAGAGAGAGTGACTAATGCTGAACAGAGACCAGAAGCAGAGGAACCTGCTCCCAGCTCTCCAACTCCAGACCCGGGGCCTACCTCCCAAAGCCCACTCAAAACTGGATTGGCCGAAATTAACCTCAGATGTAGCTGGCATGAACAGAGGAGCCACAGCTCTCTTGCCTGAGCTCTGCCTGCCAGCCTGTGTCAGAGGCCACCTCAGAGAAAGGAGTGGGTCCCCTCCCAGTTTCAACCTCCCTCAAACAGGAGGCCTGGCTCTAAGGAAGGACTGTTCCTCGAGGTCACAGGCTTACTGAAGACTAAAGAGAGAATCAACCTACCAGAACCAGAAGAAACTGGGAGCTGGGCTCCAGGGGACGGCTCAGGTCACCTGTCCCTGGTGATGAAGTCAGCTGCAGAACCCCCACAGGCTGGTAGGAAGGAGGCACATAGCTGTTCCACTGCACTGGACACACTTCAGAGCAATGTCCTGTAGTTAGGGAATGATTTGCAAGGGGTCAACAGCACCTAGGGTGCAAGCCACATTGTGACATCCAAACAAACAGCAAGAGCACATGACAATCAAAGCTGCATTGATCACCTGAAAGTAATGGGCCACTCTGCGGCATGTAAACAACAGAGTATAAAAGGGACGAAGTGGGGCTGTCCCAGAAAAGGGACAGGATCCTTCATCCTGTAGAGTGAGTCTCTGCAGTTGCGTAGAGACCCTCCTTTCTCTTCCCAGCTGTTCTAGTGTGCGGGTATTGCCAGCAGGTCCAGGGACATTCGCTGGGCAATTCCACAAGAGCCCTGTGTCCTGAAAGAGAGAAACAAGGTGCCGGGACCTTCCCACCTAGCTCTACACTCCAAGAGGAGTGGGTACCACATTTACAATTAAGGCATCATCCCCTCCACCCCATTTTCTACAGTGAGGCCTGCCTGGATCTGAGGAAGGACCCGGTAAAGGGCAGAGCTCTTCTACCCTCCTCCTGATGCCCATAGAGTCCACAGTGGCCACCAGAACCAATCTGCGGCCAGGTTCCCTCACTGAAGTGGGTTAACAATGGCCACCCAAGACTACCCATAGACAGAGTGAAAAGCAGATGTGAAATACAAGTGCGAGGGCACAGGTGCATAGGGCTGCCATGGTCTCAAGCCACCTGGACTCCTTCTGCTACACCCTAATTAAGAAATACAGATGTGTTTCCTCTCACCCTCTTGGAAAGCACAGAACCAGAAGACAGCGACCCAGACCTGGCCCTGGACGGTAGGGGTCATCCTATGACTGAATGTGAACTCTGACAATTCCTTAAACCTAGTGCTGTCTAGGCCTCCGCCCTGAGTAGCAGTAATAACTTGATATGGTCCAATAACACATTCAAAAAAAAATAAATACAAGTTCCAGGCTATCAGGCATGGCTCGGTGGGAGAGCACTCAACCTAATCCATATATGTGAGGGTCTAAGGTTCATCCCCAATAACAAGGAGAGGGAAGCTGCTGCTTACCTTCCCTCTAACCCTTTCAGATAGGTGGACTATTCACTGATGAACTCTTCATTCAGCAAGCCGTGCTGGGTTGGTGCCAAGTGGCTTGCTGGCTTTTCCCTGATGGGGCACCCCCCACGCCCTCTGCTCAGTCCCTCAGGAGTAGCAGACCTGGTCAGCAATCTCCCAGCAAGGTGCCTTCTCACAGTTTTACCCATATCACAGCAGCTTAGAGGTGGAGGGAGGGGAACAGTGGGAGGGAGAGCAGGAGAAAGAATTCCAGTGGGAAGCAGGGAGAGGCGAGTGAAGCCTCAAGCCCAGTTGATGCTTAGGAAGGGAGGGCCACTTTCTTTTGAAGACATGGCTACTGGTACCCCAGGGGATGGCCATACATCCTTGTGCATGTAGACAGCATTAAGCATCAAGGTGTTATTAATAACAACATAAAAAGACATTCAGTGGGGAGGGAGGCACTACAGTGAGCTGGAGGGAAATAAGAATTGAAAGGGTTAGACTAACTTTGTAACCTGTATGTCTTCTAAAGCCTATAGTTTTGAGTTTTAGGTTGAGGTTAAGCTAAAGCCTCTTAGTACCTTTCCAGAGAATGGAGGAATGTGACCCTATCTATGAGGACAGATAGAAAAAAAGGCAAGCAAGCAATGACCTTCACTCAGCAAAAAGAAAAACTCCTGTCTTTGAGATGGCATTTCTTAGCAACAAACCTAGACTTCTTCTGAGTAGCTTTTGACCTCCAGCCAAAAGTCTGTAGCCCCTAATCTTCAAGGATGAGCTAACCACCCCCACCTTCAATTGCAGCTGCATCCATACTTGGCAGGACTGGCCAAGCTTGAGCACCTAAGACTAACCAATTATCATACTTTATAGCTTCCTCATCCAATCCTAAATTGCCAAGACTGCAACTTCAAATCTCCCGCAATTTTTCTTTTAAAAACCTAAAGCCTTTGTCTCCCGGTGCCACTCTTTGCTGACCGGCAGGGGTGACCCCATTGCGCAATGGTTAATAAACCTCTTGTTTTGCAACGAGTCTTGGTCTGGGGGAGTTTCTGGGAAGGGCATGATCTTGAACTCCTGAGCTGCGAGACCCCAGGTCTTACATTTTTGGTACGTTGGCCGGGAAAGGGTGTGCCCCTTCCCCAACATTCATCAGACTGAACTCGGAGGTCAAGCTCGGAACAGGTTAGTCTGTTTCTGTCTTACCAATCTGTTTCTTGTCAGAGATGGCTGCCATGAGGCAGCCTGTCAATCAGATTTCTGTGGTACCAATCTGTTTCAGTTTAGGCGCCTATCTGGACCTTTTTGGTCATCTGATCAGTCATTGTGATAGACAGACGTGTCAGAATATCACTTGACTGGGAACTGGGGGGCGCCCCAGTTTCCGTTTGGGAGGTTAGATCTGAGACAGTCCTCCTCCCGTCTGATTTTCGTAGAAAACGACCGCCACCAGGCAGCCATTCTAACCACTCACAAGGGTGTCCTTGCTTGATTACTTGCCTGATTCTTTGTGTTTTTGTTGTTGTTGCCTCTCTGACTCTTTTGACAGAGAGATGCTCTAGCTCGAGAGCATCTGTAGAAGGGGTTCGAGTCCCCTGAGTGGTTCGAGGCCACTCGCCTGGAACGGTTTCATTAAGGCAGACAGACATGTCATTAATGCCAAGTCCATGGGACATCCTGTAGGACGCTCAGGTTGCCGCTTTCTGTGAACAGGGAGGAGCAGAGAGATTCTGCTCCCCCAGCAATTTAAATCCTGTGTTTCTCATGTATGTATGTATTTTTCTGTGTCTGTTTCTTTGTAGACTTGGACTGATGAAAATTCGGACAGAGGACAGTTAAAATTAGAACTAGTTCTCCGCCCGGGAGTGCACACGGCTGCATGGCAGAACACCAAGCAGTGTGCTCTCCCTCCCGAGGGAGCCAAGGAGGGTATGCTTTCGGGTGGCTGGGGAGACATGTGGAGCTTGGGCAGGCGGTGCTCAGGCACTTGAAGGTCTGTGAAATAACAATGCACACCCAGCAGGGCACGGGCTTGATGCAGCCCCTTGTTTCGATGGACAGCTGAAGAGCATGGGAGAGGGGAGAGGCCCGGCCAGGAAGCAGGTTCAGGACCTGTGGGGGAGGTAAGCTAGAGTGAAGCTCACAGGGAGCCAAGGGAGCAGGCAAGGCTCCTGGGCTTGCTAGGTGGAAGTCCTTATACAAGGCTAGGCGGGGATTGGCACCGTAGCTGCTCCACGACAGGAGCTGCTCTGGCTCCTCCCCCTTGCCTTCATGCCAGCTCAGCAGGGAAGTGAGCAGCAGGAGCTCACCACACCCTCTTGCTCCTCTCTTCCCTCCTCCCACCTAGGGGGCTTGCAACTTAGAGATCAAACAGTAATTAGGAAGAAAACTGCACTTGCTGTAATGTTTAGAATTACAGCTGAGTCTAAATAAAATTTTTTTTGTCTGTCTGTTTAAATATATGGCCATTATACAATTGTTTTCAATTGGTCTTAAATGGTTGATATGATCAAAAATAACTGGGTATGTTTTAAGGTTAAATTCAAATCCTTGTTTAAAACACGTATATGTGCCTATGTGTTTGTAGGGTCCATGAATGCATATGTTTAAATAACAACAATGTAAATTGCCACATGGTGTGGCTCAGGAAAAGAACAAAGGTTGCAAAATCTCTGAGTCAAAATGATTTTATTTCCTTTTAGGATAAGAAGAAAGTCTTGTTCTAAGTTGATATTGGTTCTGAAGATTGGGTTGTTTTCACTGATAAATTTTGGTCTTAAAATCTGGTTTTGACTTTTAAAATTATGGTTATGCTTTGTGAATTCACTCCTAAAGAAGATACTTTGCTTTGATATTGCAGGGATGAGTTTTAAAAATTGTTTAGATGTTTAAGAGAATAAAACATTTACAGTTTATCAAATTTTTTAAGCAATAACTTTTGGGCAGTCTAACAACGAACTTAAAGCAGTTTCCCAACCCTTAAAAAATTAAAAAAAAATTTAATGGGAGTTTTTCTGTTGTCTAAAAAGAAAGAGAGAGTGAGCAAGAGATATTTAAAAATATATATAGCTTGTCTAAAGCAAAAATGTCTGCTTAAGCCTAAAAAAAAAAAAAAAAGCTAGGAACCTAAAGGTATATAGGATGTTGCAAAAGGTTAGTGGATGTATTATAAAAAGCCAGAGAGTTAATATGATATAAGAAAAAACTGTATTTAAATATGTTATAATTCATTTAAAAGGCTGGTGATTCTTCATTACAAAATGTTTTTTTTAATGCTCTTTTAAGCAAAAAAAAATTCTGGCTGATAGGTTTGGTATGGCTAAAATAATTCATACAGTTTAAAAATGTTCTGTACTGTTCTGTTATGCAGTTGGTTCTAAAACTTATTTGATCACTATGTTAAAACTTTTGGTTGTGGGAGATTATGGATGCTCCACAGTGTTTGCTATGTCATCAACAGCACCTAATGGCTATGTTTGGGATTGTCAGTCACAGCCTGTGCTAACACATGGCTAGCCACCATGATGGTTCAGGGATAGAGAGCACGTGAAGCTGTAGTTTTGCTGCCATATTTGTTTAGAGCTTTCAGCTGAGTTCAGTTATACGTGGCCAGCCGCCATGCTGGTCTGGAGATAAAGAGGGTGGAGCCATGAGTTTACCACCATTTTGTTTAGGTCTCTCAGTTATGTTCAGTTCTCTAATTAGTATTAAGTGCAAAGCTTTTTACTGTTCAATTTTTAATACAAAGTAATAGGATCAGCAAGATTTGCTAGCCTCTCTATGAACTGTATCTGATTAAAAGGTTTGCTTTGATTTTAGTTCAGAAAGAGTAGACTTAAAGCTACGCTAAAGACTGCAGTTGGTTAAGGTGTTGACCTTTACCTGGTGTCTTTGTATAGGTTTTTTTAAGGTTAAGCCTAAGATGGATAACTATAAAGTTTGTCTATTTGTCTTAAAATATATAGTTCTAAAACATGCATCTCAGAAATATGCTAGAACTAGATTAAGTAACATTCTGTTTTATAGGACACAGTTTAAAACAGATGATAAAAACAAAGAGTAACTCAGATATGCTGGCCCTCAAGCTTATCAGAGATCTGATGAATATGGCATTTTAACATATGTAAGTTTATTGTGGCAAAAAGTCCCAAAATCCTGGCAGTAGCTCCCCAAGGTCTCCGAGAAGATTTGGACAACGACAGATGACTGCAACTCTGGATTGTGGTATGCTAACCACTGGGCAATACTGCCCCAACTGGCCCACTGCTAGGGCCCAGCCTAAACTGCGGACAAAGTTGGGGACACCTGAAGAGCCATTGTCTCACATTGTGAGAGGCAAGGTGAGGTCAATCTCTCCTGTTCCTCTTTCCACAGCAGCAGTTTCTCATCCTCTATGCCTGATGGCTGGACTGCCTCTGCTCAGAAAGCCAGGAGACCACAGGAGCCAGGGACACTGCCTAGGTGATGGACTAACTAGTCATCTCTGTCATTTTGATTGGTACATTTACTTAGCTCATCCTTGAAGATTAGGGGCTACAGACTTTTGGCTGGAGGTCAAAAGCTACTCAGAAGAAGTCTAGGTTTGTTGCTAAGAAATGCCATCTCAAAGACAGGAGTTTTTCTTTTTGCTGAGTGAAGGTCATTGCTTGCTTGCCTTTTTTTCTATCTGTCCTCATAGATAGGGTCACATTCCTCCATTCTCTGGAAAGGTACTAAGAGGCTTTAGCTTAACCTCAACCTAAAACTCAAAACTATAGGCTTTAGAAGACATACAGGTTACAAAGTTAGTCTAACCCTTTCAGAATGAAAATACATTGTATAAATGTATGAAACTTTCAAAGAATTATTTAAAAATTTTAAAATTATTTAAAAATTATTTAAAAATTTTAAAAATAATTAAAAGGGGCTGGCGAGACGGTTCATTGATAAAAGCACTTGCCAGCTAAGCCTGGCACTCAGAATTCAAAACCTCCAAAAGTTGTCCTCTGACCCACACACACAAACTTAGTTTTTCCTTCTAGCTCCAATTTTTTTTAATTAATTCATTCACTTTATGTCATGATTGTAGCCCCTTCCCTCATCTCTTCTCAGTCTCTTCCTCCCTTTCTCTCTCCCCCATCCCTGTTCCCCCATCCCTGTCCCCTAGTCCTCAGAAAGAGGGAGTCCTCCTCCCTTACCAACTGACCCCAGACCAAACTTATTAAAAGCATCAAAGACTTTTTTTTTAAACCAGAATAGAATTAACAGGAAGTTTTGAAGGAGGTTTAACACATTTTGTGAATCAGAGCGAAAATACAACGTATCAGAAACTGTGAGCATCTGCTGAGCCTGAACGTAGAAAGAAACAGCTTGTAATAGCATGGAAAAGTCTCAAATCAGGGATGGAAACTTTCCCCTTAAGAAACTAGAAAAAAAAAAGGGTGTGTGTGTGTGTGTGATGGCTGGACCTGAAGCAGGACCACCTAGCCCTTAGTGTCTGACTCTGAGCGTTCCGGGGTGATCTACCAATCTGGGAACCCTAAGAAGACATCACCCTGAGACTTAAAAGTACAACCACATATGGACAGGCCACACGGCTGCCAGGCAGAGGAACATGAGGACCTCCGTCTGTGAGCTACAACAGTCCCGCTTCTTGCCCCAACTTTTGAAACTAGACACAAAAATAAGACTGCAGTGACAACCGAGCGGGCTAGCTAAGGGCCTGTTCCTCCACAGCTGGGCACAGCACAGCAACCTCCAGCCTCAAGAATCCATGAATGCCGTAACACCACACGGTGAAATATTCTTGTGTAAGTTAATAATCAAAAAAAAGACATCCCGGCATCCCTGCAGAACACCCTGGGAAGCTGAAGTTCTTCACGTTCAATGGCATGGTGTCTGCATATAATCCATACATCCTCATGTGTTGTAACTTATATCCCAACACAACAGAGATGCTGTATGGTTACTGCTGTATGTTTAGGGAATGGTATCATTAAGAAAAATATGTACATGCATGCACACATTGTACACTTTTTTTCATTATGGTAACATGCAGATAAGGAAACTGCAGATATGGAGGGAAATAGTACTTTGGGAAATTTGTTTTTTATTATTTGTTTTGTGTGTTTAGGGTGGTGCGTGTGAAGGCCACAGGCTGACATTAAATGTCTTCCTCTGGCTTTCCATTTTAGATTTTGAGGCAGGCTCTCTCGCTGAACCTGGAGCTCAGCAACTTGGCTACACTGGCTGGCCAGAGACCCAATGGCTTGTCACTCACTGCTTATATTTCCATCCCCTCCATCACACAGGCTCATCCTATGTCCCCCTCTCCAGGGCTGGGATTACAGGTGCTTTGGGTCCACCCCACTTTTATTTGGATGCTGAGGATCTGAACTCGGGTCCTCAAGTGTACACAGTGAGTAAGTACTCTGCCAAATAAGCCATCTACTCTGCCCTCTTTCATATATCTCTTTAAATAATGTGATTACTGAAAAAAAAAGTATTGCTTTTGTGTTGAGATGAAGGGGATCAAATTTGGGGCCTTGAACATGTGCAAGTGCTCTATCTCTGAGGCCCCACCCCGCCCCCAGCACAAAACTCTAAATTATATATAGGACACACAACCCTTCCATTAGATAGCACTGAGCTGAACACTCAGCTCAGGTGTTCACAGGTGAAGAAAAACCCTGAAGTTCTCTTAGGCCAGGGATGAACATATTTGCCCCAGAAGTTTTGATAGGGGAAGATCTCCTGCATAAGAGAAACCTTGATGCTGTATGACTGCAATGGCTTGAATGAGAATGGCTTCCATAAGGCTCACATGCTTGGATGCTTATTCCACAGTTTGTGGAACTGTTTGTGAAGGATTTGGAGGTATAGCCTTGTTAGGGGAGGTGTGTCATTGGGGGCAAGCTTTGAGACTTTGAGCCCAACCCATTCCCAGTTAATTTTCTCTGCCTTCTGCTTGTAAACTGAGATGTGAGCACTCAGCTACTGCCCCAGGGCCCTGCCTGCCTGTCGCCACCCTTTCCTCCCCGCCCTTCCCAATGCTGGTCATGGGTTCTAGCCCTCTGAAACTGCAAGACCCCAATAAGCTCTTCTATAAACTGATTGGGTCTTCTTGTGTCTTATCACAGCCATAATAACGTAACTAAGCCAGTGATGGTATTGTTTTTATTTTACTTTATTATGAAAAAAATCCCTCACCGCCGGGTGTTGGTGGCACACTCCTGCAATCCTCAGGGAGGCAGAAGGAGGCAAATACCTTGGAGTTTGAGGCCAGCCTGGTCTATAAATCGAGTCCAGGACAGCCAAGGCTACACAGAGAAACCCTGTCTTGAAAAATCAAAATTAAAAAAAATCCCTTGGAAATAGGAAGTTTAACTGTGCTGACCAAGCTGTGGTGGGGGGAAAAACAATGTTAGTCAACAAGGTCATCCTGACCTAACTGCTGACACATCCCTGCCTCTCCAGCTGTATGAGAACAGGAGCCTGCAGGTTGGGGAAACCCAGCAGATCTGAGAGGGGAAAGAGGAGGACAGGAAGTTTTCATATCCAAGGACTGATCCAGCCAGGAAGACTTCTCGTCTCTTGGCTCTAGACACAGGCCTTGGTTCCATTACCCTGAGGTAAACCAGGAACCCTTGGGCAGTGCTAGAAATCCACAATGTACCACTGACCCCTGCATTCTAGCCTGTTCCATCACATCTCCCCCATTCCCAAGTTCAAGGTTACCCACCACTTCAGCCAGTATTCGTGATGCACTGGGTTAGAAAGCATGACTCACAAGAACTGAGGTTGGTGTAATGTTTATCTCACATGCCCAAGAAATAAGGGGGGGGGGGGGAGAGAATAGGGGAGAGGCAGGAGATATCTGTCTTACCCAAGGGCTGGAGATGCCACTCACCTAGATGGATGGAGGATACCCTTCAGTAACAAATATTAAAATGGAGGAAACTAGTCTCCAACATCCACGGCCTACCCATCCATCTCACCTGCCCTTCATGCTCTTAACACCAGTGCGTAAATGTCTCTTGTTCCTTCCTGTGTGCCTGCTGTCCCTCCACCAGGAACTCCCAACTCACTGCTTCCATTTCCATCCCCTCCATCACACACAAGGCAAAGCTTCAAAGGCTACTCCAAAATACTGGTCAGTTTCCTCTCCTTTCAAGAACTGCTTCTAGGCCTGTAGTCTCCCTTACATGAATGAAAGCTCAGTGACAGCCAGACCTTATCTGTCCCAGGAACTGGACCTCAGCAGTCCCTTTGTGAATACTGTGAATAAATGAGTATGTGCACGCTGAGCGATTAAAACAGGGAATTAAATGAGATGGGTTCGAGGCTGCTTCTGGCAGAGATCTTAGGCTCTGCGAAGTTTGGCAGGTAGAAAGGAGGGAACACGCAGGAGAGGAGAATCAGATAGAATCAGAAGCCTGTGAGTTTGCAATAGTCAGGGGTTCGAACCATTGGCACCAGGGGCCCACCAGGCCTATCTCAACTGCGAACTGGGTTCTCTGCCCTTCTGATCAGGAGACAAGAGGCCAGAAGTGTGGAACCAGGGACAAAGACCGCTGCCACCCAGCCACACAGCAGGCACCCAAATGCAGTTAACCGCCTTCTCTCCGCACGCATTCACACTCTCAGCACCCCACACAACTCTGACTACACAACTTTAGGAACTCACATGCAAAACCCCAAACTCACACCTTCTTGGAGATTTACACAATTTCCCAACCCCACAAAATCACAGACGCAGGAGAGACCCCACAACAAACTGAAATGACTCGATTCGCGCACAGCCCCGCAAACACCACCATCGTCTCCACCAATCGTGCGCACCCCTTTCCTCCAGGCCCCGCCCCGCCCAGCGTTGCTTAGTAACAGAGTAGTCCCACCCATCAAGCGTTGACGGCGCCCTCCAGCTCCGGTAGGTCTATGACCTGTACCTGACTGAGGTCGAGATTGCTGAGGCCTCCGCAGCAGTCGTGCCCGACCACCGAGAGGCTCACAGGTGCGGCTTCAGGGCTCGTATTTTCTAACATCCCACAGCTCCCTCAGGAGGAGCCTCGTGGGGACTCTCACCGCGCCGCTTGGCCGGAGAGCGGGCTCCTTGTCATTTAGGGAAGCGCGTCCAGCCGGGAGGCTTTCCTGATGGCCCCCAACGTCTCGTGGCCTTCTGGGAAATGTAGTTCTCAGACACTTCCTCGTGGGGCGCACTTCCAAGTCTCAAGAAGCGGCGGACTACAAGTCCCAGAGAGGCCGACTGGTGGTTACAGAGGGACTGGGGCAACGTTCCTCAGATTGAGGCTCCCGTCCTTCACTTTGGGCCCCTTGTCTGGACCCCACCCTCCAGCCCACTTCGCTTCCCACTGAGATAGGATAAAAAGACACAGACATTTATGGAAAGGAAAGGAGTCCCTCACTCCAGAGTCTGGTTATAACACTTTTGCCAGCTGAGGACCAAGGATTCCAGCGCAATTAACTTACTGTGAAAGTTGCCAACATAGTGTTCCTCTTATATGGATATTTTCAAATAAGAACGTTAAAAGAGCAATGCATCTAAGAGTATATGGCCTTTCTCCTTTTCCAGTTATAAACCTACAATTTTCTAGGATTCCCACAAACTCCATGTAGAGTAAAAGACAAATCTTAAACCGCTTCTGCAACCCATGGTTTATTCTACCAGATTAAAATTGTAACCACATCTGGAGCCACTCCATGATCTTGTTTATCATGGGGCGGGGGGTTCTTATCAACCTTTAAGATGTAGCTTGAAGCTGGATGTGCCTTTTATCCCAGTATCCAGGAGACAGAGGCACCACACAGATCTCTGAGTTCAAGGCCAGCCTGCTCTCCACCAACAGTTCAGTCTTCTCAACTACTGAACACGTTTGGCTGTTTTATTGAACTGTGATTGTGACTTTCTGTGTGTTTGTTCCCCCCACATATACACCAGGGGACAGAGAAAGGTAAAGGTGAAAGGTCACATCAGAATTGATGCAATCTATTCCCTCCCCTTACTCAGATCACCCCACCAGACTGGCTCTTCTCCGGTGTCATAGAGGCCAAATTGGCCACCTGAAATGCAACTGTGGTTCAAGCCACAGGCCAAGGGATGATATTTTGAGGCAGAAGCCTTTGCATGGGGCCTTTGGAAGCCTTTGGAAGCCTCTGAATCTGAGCTTGCAGAGAGGTCATCCAGTCAGTCTCCAACAATGGAGATTTTCTTCCATGGCTTTCTTGAGTACTCTGTTTACATGCCCGGAGTTGTGGGAGACTCATCACCTCAGAGTAGCCTTGCTCCTCTGTTGGGGTGTATCTGATTACTCCATTCTCTTGAAGTTTTAATAAATGGACCTCTTTTCTATCCTTAGAGGTTTCTCTGCTTTTCATACTTGAGAAGCCATTTAAGAGAACATCTTCTAGTCAGCTCCGGATACTGCTTTGGTCCAGAGGTTTGCCTCCATGCTGCCTTCCCTCTGTCTTGGATCTGGGAATAGCAGCTCCTGGTGGTGGTGGTGGGGTCACCAAAGTAGGCTTCTACTGATCAAATTAGCATGGCTAACTAAATGCCAATGGCACATTTCCCAGCTCACAATCTACTTTCTATCCATGAAATGAGCTCCCTGTCTTAAGCACACATGTTTCTCCAGTGCTCAGGCTCCCCAGGGGTTAGGTGTGATGGGGAGACCTTTCCAGAGCAGAGATCCTCTAGAGATGTGTGCCCTGCAGAGTGCCCACATGCTCCCTTCCACCTTGGGCTTGGGGAGTAGCCCTTTCCCCAGGAGACTACCTGGTAGCAAAAAAGCACATGAGTGAATTCATCTGAGTCCGGTTCTCCAGCGTATCAGCCCCCTGAGAAGCCCATCCTGGGCACTGGTGCTGGTGGGTTTCTCTGCACTTCATCAGTCCTTGCTTCCTGTTGGCCTCCTAGTTGCTCCTACAGGTATTTTGGTGGTTGAATAAGAATGGGCCCCCAGGGGCTCATATATTTCTTAGTCATCAGGGAGTAGCACTATTTGAAAAGAATTAGGAGGCATGGCCTTTTTGGAGGAAGTGTGTCACTGGGGATTGGCTTTGAGGTTTCAAAAGCCTATGCCAAGCCCAGTGTCTCTCTTTCTCTGCCCCATCTGTGGAATGGGCAATATGACCTATTGTTCAAGTTACCTCTTGCCATTGAAAGCTCTGCCCCACCACATGCTGGCTATGAAGCTTGAAGAGAGTGACCTGTTCTCTCTGACCTCAAATCCCTTACCATGGAAACCTGATCTGAGCTCTCAGAGACTGCAGCCGTGGGATCCGCACTTCAAGGTCTCTTGCTTCCTGGAAGCCACCCAAAAGCCCTGGGGGACAGAGGCTCTATTCTGTCCTGAGGAAACTGGCTTCACAGTCACTGAGTAAGGGAGAAGCTTGAAACGCATACTAGTCAAAGCCAAGGCCAGGACTGCTCCTCACCCACTACTGAAACCCACCTCCCTGGAATCAGAGGCCGTCTGCAAGAATTCCAGCCTGGGCTCCAGCACCCACTTGGTGCTTAAAATCCTTCTTGGTTCTGCCCCCTTCTCTGCTGCTGCTCATCTCTCCCACAACCTCAGGGTCTCCCCACAGCACAGTCTTAAAAAGGTGAATGTTCCACTTGCTCTTCAAACCAGACACACTCATCTGGCCTCTTCTTACATTCCTGCCAGTCGGGACCTTTGTACCTCTTGGTTCCTCTACCTGCCACACTCTTTCCTTCTCAGGACTTTGCTCTGGCTACCTTTGAATCTCATGCCTGCACACACCTGGTGCTCACTCAGAACTCATTGACTATTTGCTGAATTGAACGGGGTCAAGGCTCTGTTTTGGTTGAGTAAAATAAGGCCCAAAGCAGGCATGGTGACATTCTTTTATCTACTGTAATCTACAAAGAAAGCTGAGGCAGGAGGAAGATCCTTGAGCCCATGAGTTCAATCCTAGCCCAGACAACATAGCAAGAATACATTTTTTAGTGTTTTTATAGCTATGTCTCTAATGTTTTGCCTGTTTATAAGCATGTATGCCATATGGGTATCTGGTGCCCATAGAAGTAAGAAGAGGGCATCAGATCCCCTGCAATTAGAGTTATGATGGAGCTTGAGTCACCATTTAGGTGCCACGAACCAAACCTGATTCCTCTGCAAGAAAGCAACTAGTACTCTTAACCGCTGGACCATCTCTTTATTCCCAAGTCTCCATCTTTTAGAAAAGAAAAAGAAAATGAGGGAAAGTAAAGATGTTTTCAAAGAGACAAAAGCTGAAAGCAGATTCAACCAGAAAAACAACCAAGGAACTTCTTCTAGCGAGCAGAAGGCTACCCCACCAAAGTTGGCATGCAGGACACAGTGAAAGGGACAAAAGGTCTGTGTCAGCACACAGAAGGGAGTAGAGGATGCTGGCAACCATAAATCTATCTTGTAGGCTTGAAAATGTTTATCTCAGTAACTGAGAGCAAATACAGGAAAAATCAGCAAGTCTGCAGATTCAAGCTGCAGCCTCATGTCTGTGGCCCCACCCCCACCAGAACTGCTTTTCCAGGTTCCCAGGGAGCATCCACCAAAATTGACCCTGTACTAAGCCTGAGACAGACTTTGGCCTCATGACATGAGTCAAGGCTCACTCTCATACACAGTGGAACTACAAAGAGGCACTACAACGCTTTACTAGGTGTTTTTGTTTGGTACAGGTGCATGTGTGTGTGGCCGGTTTGTTTGGGGGTGCTGTTTGGTTTGGTGTGCAGTGCTGGGGATCAAACCCACGGTCTCTGTTAGGCAAGTGCTCTATCATAGAGCCACACCCCAGACTTAAGCTTTGTGTGTGTGTGTGTGTGTGTGTGTGTGTGTGTGTGTGTGTGTGTGGTTTTTTTGTTTTGTTTTGTTTTGTTTTTGTTTTTTTTTTTTTTCAGAAAACTCATACCTTAAAGGTTTTCTATCTCAAAGTTTTTCAAGCTACAAAAAAATAAAAAATAAAAATAAAAGAAACATTCAAGAGTTATCCAGTGGGCTCCTTGCACCTCTCGCCTGGATTTGCCTCTGTGTTTCTTGGGATATGTTCCATCCGTTTTTGATTTTTATTAAAGATTTATTTATGTATCTTACGTACATGAGTGTTCTGTCTTCATGAATACTAGAAGAGGGCATCAGATCCCATTACAGATAGTTGTGAGCCACCATGCAGGTGCTGGGAATTGAACTCGGGACCTCTGGACAATCTCTACCACTTCCTCCTTCTGATTTCATGTTGTTTTCTTGTGAACTGTTTGAGGGTTAGGTGTAGAGTTCACTAGGACTCCAGGAACAGACACTGTCAGCTCATACCACAGTGCTCGGGACTGGTGTTTGCAGAGACACAACATTGTCAGTTGACACACAGCCAGATCCACATTGAGAGAGCCCTGATAATATGCAGTTCTGAGATCCACAGTACAGGTCACCTATAGCCTGCTTTTTGTCCCTTAGAAACATACTAGGAGGCTGGGCATAGTGGCACACACCTTTAATCCCAGCACCCAGGAGGCAGAGGAGGTGGATCTCTGTTAGAGACAAGCCTGGTCTACATAGTGAGTTCTAAGTCAGCCAGGACTACACGGTGAGACCTTGTCTCAAGAAGGAAAGAAAGAAAGAAAGGAAAGGAAAGGAAGGGAGGGGAGGGGAGGAGAAGGGAAGGGAAGGAAAGGAAAGGAAAGGAAAGGAAAGGAAAGGAAAGGAAAGGAAAGGAAAGGAAAGGAAGGAAGAGGGGGGAGAAAGAGGGGGGAAAGAGAGAGAAATATACTGGGGGAGGCAGACAGTGAGGAAGTTCAGAGGGTAAAGGTACTTGCCCCAGGATTCATGTAGTGGAAAGAGAAACAGATCACAAAAGTTGTCACCTGACTACCACATGTGCACGGTGGCATGAATAGACATGCATAAATGTACGCTTGTCGCATGATGCGCGCGCGCGCACACACACACACACACACACACACACACATACACACACATACACA